CTTTCATGTCACATGGTATTACAGGAAGTGCTCCACTGTGTTTTTAAACTCCATATAACTTTGCTAGAATCATTTGGATAATTCCAGCTCTAGAACTGCCAAGCTAAGCTGAACTAAAGGTAAAAGGTATCTGAAAACTACCACTACATGACATGACAAGGTAGAATAGAACATTTTAATCTTGGAGATGTAAACAGATTTATAATAAAAGATTACTTAAAAATGTGAGAATGAAACAAAACATAACTCTAGGTATGTTTTTGATGTAGTAAGTTTGGAGGAATTAACAACATTAAAACGTGGCTTAAAGCTCGCGATAATGCATTGTGTGTAATATAAGCCCTTCAGTAATGAACTAAACCTAAAGCATTCTAAACTATTAAACTATCATAAACTATTTGTTCATAATGAATGAAGTCTGTCATGCTTTATTAAGGCTACATAACTGTGTGCTGTCAGATCGTGGGTTAACAGTACTCATTATGCTCAATATGCAGCTCTATCGCATGCCCATGTATTCGGGTTACAATAGGAAAAAGCTAATATAGTGTATAAGTGTATAAAGAACCCCTGCTTATGTCTGGAATGTGCGACAAAAATACATAACATATTCTTACTTCAACAACGCACTAGATGTATTACAAGTAGCAACACATTTCTCGACTTCTCTTGCTTGTCCAACTTAGCGCCTTTAAGCGGTACAAATGACTGGAAAATGCTGTTGCTCACTTGATAGTTGTGCTGGCGTAAGGGTTTGTAGTGGAGTCGAAATTCAAAAGTGTTTGTGTTTAGAAGCAAACAACCATGGGATGAAAGTGACAGGCCTCGCTCATTCAGGCTGTGTATATCCTCCTCTGCTGTCTCTTCTGATCCAGCTAATTATCACAGTTTGACAGTGTCGAGAGGAGGAAGCACGCAGAGCCCAGGTCGCAAGACAAGGCAAGAGAGAAAATCGTTTCAGCAGCAATGAAAGGAGACAGGAGAAGCCAGAAGCAGAGTTTTAAAGCAGGCTTTTACAGACAATTCACCTAATGAGGATGTATAGCTTTAAGTAGCAAGAAAGAACTTGGAGGGCTTATGTCTCCTCTATGAGCCAAAAGGTTTGCTCTCTATTTTCTGTGCTATTAAGGAAGGAAAAACTCAAGTAGACATGCAATTTTAACAAGGACCATTACTATATAATGCACTGACATAATTACACTGGCCATGAAGGTTACCAACAACTAGCTAACCAATCGACTCAGTTTGTTAACCATTAGTAAACCGTATAGCTGCTTTATAACGACAAAAATTCTAGTCCCAATTAATTGGCCAATTTAAATCCCAATTATTTCTTATTATGCTACTTCTAAACTTGCAGAGAAAGTATAAACTAAAAGTACTTTGCAGCAACATCATGATGGGAGAGTTCCACATGTATGTGTATTGGCAAGGCAAGGCAAGGCAAGTTTATTTGTATAGCACAATTCGTACACAAAGTAATTCAAAGTGCTTTACAGAATAAGAAATACATTAAAATCATAATAAAAACAAATCAAAACATAAATAATCATGAAGATTAAAATAAAAAAAGAGAGACATAAATTGTAGAGAAGAGTGCGGAATGAAAACCTTTCAGTTATATGCACAGTTAAACAGAAATGTTTTGAGCCTGGATTTAAACAGCGTCACAGAAGAGGCCTGTCTCACATGTTCAGGAAGACTGTTCCAGGTTTTAGCTGCATGAACCTGAAACGCTGACTCCCCTTGTTTAGTCCTGACTCTGGGCACCAGCAGGAGGCCGGTCCCTGAGGTCCTCAGAGTGCGAGATGGTTCATATGACACTAACATGTCACAGATGTACTTTGGTGCTCGGCCATGGAGAGACTTGTACACAAGCAGAGCTGCTTTAAAGTCTATTCTCTGAGGCACAGGAAGCCAGTGCAGAGACCTGAGCACAGGACTTATGTGCTCGTACTTCCTAGTTCGAGTAAGGACCCGAGCTGCAGCGTTCTGGATGTTCTGCAGCTGTCTCACAGCTCGTTTGGAGAGACCAGTGAGCAGACCATTACAGTAGTCTAACCTACTGGAGACAAACGCATGGATAAGTTTCTCCAAGTCTGCTTTTGGAGGAATGTTCATCAGTTACCATAAACACAATGCACACATTAGCACACAAATAAAATAAAATACTAGATTAAAGTCTAACAAGCCTTATGTTGTGGAAAAAATGATATATCTGTTGAAGAAAAAATAATTAATCCATTTGCGAAGGCTGATGAGTTTTGGAATACAGAACAAGGTTTATTTTTGTTGTTGCAGCAGATATGGCCTTTTGTTGTTACAGCAGATAAGGCCTGCACTGGCCACAAACCAACAGTCTCTCATCACCAGCAGTAGGTCCCTACCACATTAGACCACTCTGAGCATCCCAGCTCTGAGTCTCTTCCCCAGAACATCTCCACCAGAGCATCTCCCCTTCCATCTCCCCATAGCATCTAACCTCTGAGTCTCACCCCCAGAAGATTTGAGCTCTGAGTATTCATACAGAAATGCAGAGTGACCTTTGTTTCACAAGCTTTTGCTAATCAACTACATACATTTGAGGGCAGCTAAGACAACACACAGTTTCCTGAGGGTGAGGACAGTTGTGTCTGCTGAGCCTTTACACATGTTGATGGCTGGTCTGGGTCTCAGATAGAAGTCACATTCATTTACTCAAAGACAAACTGAGAGAAATCTTTCGACAATATAAAATTCCATCACACTTAGATAGAGCAGTGCCTACATTTAGCATCACACACCCGCAGGGAATGATGATGACTTCGGCTGGAAAGTACAAATACTATATTAGTAAAGTGTATGTAGGTCGGAAAAGTTTTCAGGGGCCAATCTTTCCAGATAGTTTAGTTAATAGTGTTTTTGATTACAGCATATTTGTAACTGAACTCAAACTGCAACATTATATGAAGAAACAGGAACATTATTTGCAGAAATGGTTTACATGTTGTGCATTTACTCCTGGGCCCTATATCTGTAAAGCTGCAGATTGAGTGAACACCTTGGCTTGCTTGTCCCTTGTATAATATTACAATCAATTGCAAAGTGAGTAAAAATGAATTCCCTAACACTGTCTGTGTATACGGAGTATATCTGGACAATATGCGCACACATCGAAACTGAAAAACTGAAAAACAGAATGCAGCGAGTACGAACAATATATCTGAACAGAACATATCATATTGCAGTCGATAATTGAGAGAGAAGACGAAGGAGGAGGAGAGCCCGAGAACATTTGCTTCCCCCAAAGTGAAAGGAACAGATGGGCCTACAGACAATCAAGATCAAACCCAGTCACAGCTGTCCTCACTGCTAATATTGACTCCCAAAGATATTTTTAGATGAATAACAACTTTCCTCCCAACAAAAGAGAAAGTGTGTTTATCACTAGAACACAGCAGGGATGTTGTCTTATATTTACAATCTGTATGCTGTATAAACACTTTTACAACTACACAGACGCTGCAGCCATTATTCAAAATGTCACCATAAAAGTTTTAAAAGTTGTGAAATGGCTGAAAACTACACACTGTTATATGAATGAAGTATCGCAGTTGTGTTTCATGGTATTTTTTGCAAAGCTGAATAAATTGTACAACTGTTGGTAATACACTTTACAATAACTAATGAAAATAGTTAGGTTTTTCTTAATTAATTTTAAATAAAGTAATATTTCTTTAATCCATTTAAAGGGCCCATATTACACTATTTTCTGGTCTGTGTTATAATGTTGTTTCCTCATCACAATTGTACCTGCAGTTGTGTTTTGTTTCATTTACACATGTTTAACACACAAACCCTGCATATTTAGGGTTAACAGAAAACACTTGTGTTAATACAGGAGGTGCTCCATTGTGTTTTTAAACTCCACACACCTTCACTTAACTCATTTTGATAATTTCAGCCCTGAAATTGCCTAACTTTACTGAACTTAAGGTAAAGGCTTGAGTAGTTAACTTGAAAAGCAGCACTACATGACATCACAAGGTGGAACAGAGCATTTTGAGCTCTAGAAATGGCGACAGACTAATAATAAATGGTTATTTAATTGTTTGTTTAAAATGAGTAATGGTATAAGGCCATATGAAAATTCTGTTAAAGAGAAATCTGCTACATATGTGCAATGTGAGCAGTGTTGGGGCAAAGTGTATTATGTTGTTGGTCTTTTTTATAGCAGGATTTTTATAAATAAGAACCAAACTAGTCCTAAAAACTGTAAGAATTAAACTTTTTTCCTGCAGCTTTTACTTGGGTCTTCAGGATGTCCTTTCACGGTCACCATCAGGGGTCTACAAAAAGGCATTAGTAGTGATCAATTGCGATCTGCCATTTTTTCGGCAGGTTCCATATAAATAATCACCTGATTAATGCTTCCGAATTTCCCTTAATGTAAGAAATATGGCATAGTAATAATACAAAAAGTGAGCTACTAAAATGGTGCAAAATGTAACTTTTTTAGTGGACGGTCTGCCACCTGCTTTTGCCTTGAATGTTCCACAGCCTGGCATCTATATTCCTGGAGAAAAAGATGATTCCACCAGGCCAAGTTATTAAAGCTTTCGTTTAATGCAATAAAGGTCCAATATTATGCAAAATTAACTCTTATGAGCTTGAAGCCATATTTGAATATTGTTACCTCCTAAAAAACTTACATACATATTGTGATTTGTTGTTTTGTTTCATTCACACATGTTTGAGTAATCCTTTATTTTCCTGTCCATCTCAAAAACTTAAAATGTTCTGTTCAACCTTGTGAAATCAAGAAGTGGTTTTCAAGTGAAGGTGTGTGGAGTTTAAAAACACAGAAAATAACTTAATATAGGCCCTTTAAACACGGCAAGCAAAACATCAACATCTCCATTCATCTCCATTCAGCCAAACAGGTGGCAGACCCCCCACCTAAAAAGTTACATAGTGCTCCTTTAATTAAAGTATTCTACTAAAGACTAATATCTACTTACAGCCAGTAGTATCTGCAGCGAGGAATGGGCCACCTCTATGAACTGGAAATCCAGCAGACAGCCTGATATAGAGATGTAACGGTGATCCTCAGGTGCCCAGGAGGGGGGAGGGGTGATGGGTGTCACCTTGCACCCTGGCCCGTTTTCCATCCACCAAGAGCGGTGCATGGACAGGTTAAAGGTCAACACCAAGTCAGAGTCCTGTGGAGACATGCAGAGAAGGATATTAGCCGCTGAATTAGACTTGTGAACAAAAGGTTGGACAAGAATGAGAGCCAGGCCAACAGTCCAAGCAGCTTTTCACCACGTTTTAATTAAATGTGAACCGCATGTCATAACTGAGTCTGGGCGTTGGGCATGGGTGAGGGGGGCGAGGGGGGTGAGGAGGGTGAAGGCTGGAGGGGGAGGTGGGATAGAGCTAAAAATACTTCACAGATTTATAATTTTAATGATTCTGGATAAGTCTGATTAGATTTTAATCATAGCATGGAAGGGTTTGAAGATTGAAGATGTGGGAATGGAGAAGCTGCAAGGATCTGAAGTGAAGTGATTTGTAATGAATATTGTAAATTTAATGTTACGACTCTATCAGCAAAAGCTCTACAATTCTATGGCTGTGCAAAATGTGTGCTCCTCTTTTTAACAGCACCAACACTAAATAAATGCAAAAATATAGCATAACACAAACCAACATAAAACCTAATACATATATACATAATGCCAATGTGGAAGATTTAAATGTACTGTAGATTAAAAATATTTAAAATAATCCATAATCACTTTTAATTTGAATGTATATATGAAAATAAAATGTTTTCGTTAATGCTGTTTTAGCCTTGTTTTGGTCACAGATCACAAAGTATTCACAAAAATGATCACAAATTGCAAGCTGAGAAATATTTTTGAGTAATGAGTATTGGATGGTTCTGGTTCTGGCTGACCTGTTTAATTTGTTTAATGTTTTCTATTTCAGGGTGCTTATTTTGATATTGCAGCTCTGAGAAATTGTAATGTAAGTGTAGCAGAATCAAACACAAAAATATATACGGAATTGAGTTTCTTTGTGCAGTAGAGCAAGCGCGTGGGGCCATGACCACTGCAGGTGCAATGCAGTTGGATTCTGAAGCAAAGTCCTTCTTCGGAGATGTCCAACCACCCCGCCTCCCCCACCCACCCCCCCCTCTCTCTCTCACTCTCTCTCACTCTCTCTCTTTCTCTCTCTCTCTCTATCTCTCCCTCTCTCTGTGATATTCGCCTTGGTGTAAATAATGCACATATTAACGGCTCCACTTAGCAAGGACGCACATAGATCATCTGAGAGACAGCTGGGCTAATGACACGCACACAAACCGCACTGGCACCAAAGCACGCACACACTCACACAAACACACACACTCACGCACCAACTTACTGGGCTGGAAATGCTTCGAGCCAGAGGAAAAATACACTCTAAAATACTTTGGTAAGAGATAGACTCACTTTGTTGATGCTCGTAGTTGTGAAACATGGAATCAAGATATAATTATTAACCATGAAAATATCTCTGTATATTTAGAACTTATTTGCCGTTGAGTTCGGCAGCCCTGCGCAAATCCATACAACCTGTGGCAACAACCTGAATAAGATGAGTAAGCTTCTGTGTCCATGATCAAAACATTTTTATCAATGTGACTCAGAGGTTGAGGTTGGTGCAGATGGACAGCTACAAAACTAACAAAGAAACAAAAAAAACTATAATCTAAAAAACAGACTAAAATAGGCCCAAAATAAGTATCAATAAACCAGGTCTAACTGACAGGAAATTACCAAAGATGATCGCTGGAAGAAAACCAGGACCAAACCAGCACTGGGAACAAACCAGTACTAAAGCAACCAAAGTCTAAACTAGAGCTAAACCAGGTCTGTCTGAGGATTTAAAGTGCCCACATTACACTATTTTCAGATCTATGCTGTAATGCTCATCACAAAAATACCTGGAGTTGTGTTTTGTTTCATTCACACATGTTTAACTCACAAACTCATATTTAGGAGTTCTTCTCTCAAACAAAAAAACACAGTTCCACCTTGTGATGTCATGTGGTAAAACAGAAAGTGCTCCACAGTGTTTTTAAACTTCATACACCTTCACTAGACTCATTTAGATCATTTCAGCCCAGGAATTGCCAGTCTCTGTTAAACTAAAGGTAAAAGCTTTTAACTTGAAAATTACAGCTTCATGACGTCACAAGGTGGAACAGAGCATTTTGAGCTTTAGGGCCTGTTTACACGAGAACACTTATGGATAAAAACAACAAAACATTTTATCGGAAGTGGCTTTAATTTAGACAGTGATAGCATTTTTGAGGCTTAAAAACGCAAAAATCTCAAACCACCCTCCAGAGTGGAAAAGATGAATACACTCCACCGTAGTGTTTCCATGTACATTGTCCAAGACACAACACTCTGGTCAAATTTGCTCACGTCACGTACACATTTACGTCTCATACATCACCACCTGGCGTCACCACCTAGCCGCCTGGCATGCATACCCAATCGAGTTCCACACACTTTTGCGTCACCGTATGTATGCAGATTTCCTCCGGAAAATGCTTGTCTATACACGGAATAAAAAGTGAAGACGCGACGCCACTTTTATGTCTTCTGTTCAGACCGTCATCATATAAACGCAGCCTTAGAGATATAGATAAGGGTTATTCAAACATGCGTGGATGAAACACAACTCCAGGTATTTTTTGAGGATTATAACATGGTTTGAAGCTCAGAAGAATACATTTTGCGTAATATAGGACCTCTAACTAGAAAAAAAAAGTCATACAATAATGGAAAGCATTTTTAGAAACTAAAATTACAATATTTCCTCAAAAAATTTACTAGTTAAAGTAATTCACATTTTAGCCATATATCAATTATTAGGAGAGTTCAGGTTACTGGACTCAGAGACAGTGAACATCCGGCAGAGAGCAAAAATACAGTATAAAATGATTTACAAAAAGAGTGTTGTAGCAATAAAACCTGTGAGTCTGCCCAGAAAATTGAAAGTTACATTTCTTTATATTTTATTTCAGAAAAGGGTAGACACATCAAACCCACCCCGTTTTCAAAAGCACAGACACTAAATAAAAGCGAAAATGTTAGCCAACTGCCAACACGAGTTTTAGCTCCATATTTTTCTTTTGCTTGGACTAGAAATTATGTGTTAAAACACCAAAGCAACACAGTGACAAAAAATGAGACTATTGTGGCAGCAATAAACCTCAAGTCTCCTGCCAGGTGAAATTGACATTTTTGTCAATAGAGTCTGGTGGCTTTGAAGAGCGCTTCAGGGCTCCAATTCCCAGTTGGAGAAGACTGTTTGATGGCAAAGTAAAGCTGTGAAAATATTCTCAGTATAGCCTTTCTCAAATTGATGTTTTGGAGAAATTGTTTTGCTCCCAGCACTATTCACCTCGATGTATAGCGCCTGTATATGAGCTCCTGTGTGAATGATCGGCTCTGATGAGATTCTGTAGTTACTTTCTGGTATATATGACATGTCAGTGGCTTTCAGTATTACAATACAATCTCTTATAAGTAAAGTGTATTGATCCTCTGACTCCACTTATACTGTAAGATACATGCTAGGATTGTCAAAACATTGATTCCCAGGTATTCAGTCTCAATACTGAAAAAAATAATACATGAACAGAACAACTTTGGGCCTTTCTTGTGAACTTTTATAATCCCATGGTAAAAGAAACATCTGTTATTTTGTGCTGAATATTCCATTCAATTATCAGGTATCTCAATTTAAGTATCAAGCCTTTTCCTTGGTATCAAAATCAGGTTTCAAGAGTATTATATGTTATGTATTATACTAATACTAAACTATTTAAAGGAACAGTCCAGAATTTTGGATATAGGGCCTCATTTCCTAGTGAGCCAGAGTGTTAGAGACGTGTGGAGATGCTTTTTTAAAAAAAATCCATTGAGTCCTTGTATTTGCAGAGGTTTGAAGAACACAACAGGCAGCATATCTTTATACAGAGCTTCACCTGGTATCTCCTTAAAAACATTGTCTAAATTCTTCATATTACCATTCATTTTAGCCACACATCTGCTGCTTAAGCGCTTCTACCGTCTCTCTATTTTGGTGTAATGAGTAAATGTCTAATTAGTAGCTTGGTCTGATTAATACCATCTTCCTTTGCTCCTTTTTATGTGTTAAATCTCTTCAAATTTCCGCCCGTCTGTCAGCTCCCTGCCCCAAAAGAAGACACATTTTATTCTCAAACCTTTTCTTCCTCCCAATCTTTTTTTAGTCGGCCATTATTTCTCTATAGCGTCTCTATCTTTCTAATGGGCACTTAAAGACGCACACATAAATACAAAAGTAATTCTTATTGGAAAAGCCATTTCCTTGACTTTATTAAAAAGGTACTTAGCATAAAGGTCAAGCTGATAGTGTGCACTGCCACTTGTGGATCATTGGAACTAAATAGGTTTCGACTTCATTAAATCTATAAAAGAAAGTGGTAGTGGTGGTAGCAGGCAACACAGGGAATATTTAGAGTATTCACTTGATCTTACACTATTCCTGCCACACTCCAGGGTGGGGAGCACAGTAACTGGGTCAGCATGACATATGATGTGGTTTCAAATATGAAAACTTACATCTCTCCAAGACCAATGCAAAAGTCGCTATTCTTACACATTTAAAAGTAGGACATTAAGATTAGTAAAGTATATTATTGTAGCCTACACATAAGCCTATAATACAAACTGGATCAGTGTTCGACCAACATAAAATAGAGTTACAACTTTTAGTGGATAACTTCATTTTCTGTCTTTGTTTTTGAGATGGAATTCAGTCTGCAAGTACAGTGTTTTTCTACGAATAGACTAACAAGGTGTCAATCAATACCAGTGACAGCAGTGGGCTGATTTGAGATCTTCTTGTTCTACAATACTTCATATCAATTTTATTATTTTTTTTAAGAAGTACACATACTTGTTTTGTCGCTTTTTTGCCCCCTTGTGGAAGGAGTTAGTTTGTTTGTGACTTCAGTTATGTAATTTTAAAGATTGTGTAACTTTTCTGGTGGAGGGTCCATCAAATGATTTTCTCTATGGAGATGTTATTGCTTTGTCATGGTATTAAACCTTTCTATCTTTAAAGCAATCAAATCAGACTGAGTTACAGGTTAGATCTGTGGAGAGGCAAGCTCACACACAGCCAGAATGCCTCTTCTTCTATGTATTTTTGAGCTTTAAAACCACCTGTAATGTGTAATGTATAAGGTAGAGCAGTTTAATGTCATACTGTAGGACATATCCATAAAAACACGAAGATGACGGACCCCCAACCAAAAAGTTACACGGTCCACCTTTAAGTAATAGATCTCAATGGGAGGAAAGAGAAATTGGTTAAGAGCGGTGTACCCAAACTGGACAGCCAAAAAGTGACACAGAAACTGTCAGTGCACTGGCTAACTTGTTCAGTCTGATCAAGGCCCTCCCTAAACTGACCGCACAAACTCCTTGTGTTTAAGAGTCAAATTGTGATGGTCATTAAAATTGGCTCGAGGCTATTGCACAGTGCTGTCAAAGTCTGTCCGAGAAGTGGAAATAAAGTTATACTGCTGAAAATAATCTGGAGTATAAAAATATGATAATAAATCTTTGTGGGAAAAATAAGACTCACGCTGAGAGATAGAGGTGTGAATCAGATTTGAGAAAATAGAAAATGCCAGATGTTGTATTGAAATAACATGTGATGAAGTGTTCTGGACAAACCAAGCCAGCATTAACAGAGTGTTAACTAATACAGCAGATATGTGCAGGATGATTTTGGTACAGTTGCTTCGATTCATTTATTCATTTTTTATTATTATAATTTTTTTTTTTTTAAAGATTTCAATGCACATTTTAAATAATAAAGAATCCCATACATTCATCTTTTGAATGAATGGGAGAACGTCCTCAAAATGTTGAATATTGACTGTTAAAGGTGCACTATGTCTGTTTGGTTGGGGGGAAAAACAGGCTGACTGTGAGCGGGGTTGCCTCTTCACAGACGTGACCTGTAACTTGGTCGGGTTGTTTTGTTATGTATAATTTCAAAACTGAAATAATAAAATAAAAAAGCTGAACCTATGATATACATGCAACGTGTATGTATATCATATCGAGTAAATATGTGTAATTCTGTATTTTGAAACAATCTAGGCAAAGCATTAACATCTCCATGGAGACGAGCAGAAAAGTTACACTGTGCACCTTTAATTATGACAAAAACCTTCAGACCTTTTCATAATAAAATAATTTAAATCAGAAAAAAATATGTAAAAAACACAACCCGTTCTCACAGCAGCACCACTACTTGGATTTCTGTTCTGCTAATGCCGGGAACAATGGGCCAACTTTAACATTTTAAAGTGACTTTGAAATCACCAGCCTCATGTGTCAATGTCTCACTATTGATGTTCTCTTTATGAGCTTTGGCTCCACACCATTGTTGTTCTGTCAGGCCTAAAATTGAACGCTCCCCCATGTAAACTTCAAACAATAGACTAATAATGGCTCTGTGCTTTCAGGGTGGCATTTGAAATTTGGTCATTACTTAGAAACTTGTGGCTTTCATGGGGTACTAGAACTTTATTCAGTAGAAGTAGTAGTCTGTTAAGAGAATTATGGATAAAGAAAACATATGTGAAGTATCTCATATGTTTCGATCTACAACAAAATTACTTGACAAGAAAAGAATTATTGCAATATCCAACCCCCTATTCATTCATTCAAATACAGCATAGTAGCTGCAGTGTGATATACTGTTATATGACCAAGGTTATCTCACATTTTAGTCTTGTTGTGTAAGACTTTTATGCCATTTCATTGCATTTTGTATATTATTCCAGATGCCCTTCTAAAGTCATGATCTCCATTTATCCAAGTTTAGAAATCATATATGAAAACAAAGATGAGAAAACACAACCGGATAGAAATCTCCTTGAATTTAAAAAGCTGTCTCATCTCATACTTTCCCTTGAGACTGTGCAAACATACCTTAATAGGCACTTTATCACTTTGTAATAACTACAACTAAATTGCCTCAGTTATGAATGGACAAGGAAGGACATGGAAATGAGCAAATAAGCTTAGTATCTACTAAATTAACTGATTAGTGTTAGTTGTACTAATTAAGTACTTACTAAGCTTGGATCTTCCTTAAAAACAATTTGCTCATTAAAAATTAAGTCTTCAATGACGCTTTTATTGAAGTTGATTAAAGTGTTACCCTTGGGAGTAGCATGAACCAGTCCAGGGACTATAAGTGGATAACCATGTAGTTAGTCCAGAACTGCTGTGCGTTCTGGACTAACTAGGGACCAAAAAGCATGATCACATTACCCCAATTCTTGTTTCGCTGCACTGGCTTCCTGTTAATTTTAGAATTAATTTTAAGGTTTTATTATTTGTTTTTAAAGTTTTGAACGGACTGGCCCCTTAGTACATCTTGGACCTCATCCAGATTTACACCCCCGCACGCTCTATGCGGTCTGAGGGTCAGTTCCAGCTCGTTGTGCCTAAAACGAGACTTAAAACCAGGGGGACAGGGCCTTCTCTGTGGCCGGCCCCAAGCTCTGGAACGCTCTGCCCATCCACATCTGAACAGCCCCCACAGTGGAGAGTTTTCAGACCTGCTTTTATTCTCTGGCTTTCAAAACCATGTTAGTTGTGTGGTCTTCTGTGTTTTTTATTTATTTATTTACTGTTTTTATCTATTTTATTTTTTTAGTTCTGCTTTTATATATTGATTTTATTATTTTTGGTCATTGATTTTATTATTTTATTTATTGATTCTATTAGTTTCCTCATGGTTGGAACATAATTCTGCAGATTTTTTTTTTGCTATTTAAAGCACTTTGGAAACTGTCTTGTTTATAAAATGTGCTATACAAATAAAGTTAAATTGGAGTTGGATAACCTGGTACAATACATAGTTTCTGTTTTGCTTGTACATTATACACTGCACCTGTATTGACAAAAACATACCATATCCATGCATGGGTTTTACATAAGCAATCTTAACAGTGTCACATTAAACCCGTCATGCCTATTAAAGGTCCTATATTACAAAAAAAATGATTCTTATGAGCTTTAAGCAATGTTAAAATGTTGCTACCTCCTTACACATTACCTTAACATACCTCAAGTTGTATTTAGTTTCATTCATACATGTTTGAGTGATCCTTCTTTATTAGGCTGTCTACATCTCCATAGCTCGAAATCACAAAGCAGTAGTTTTCAAGTTAACAGCTACTTTTTGTTCAGTAGAGATTGGCAATTCCAGCACTCAAATTATTATTATATGCCATGAGGGAGGTTCATGTTAAATTTTGTCTGTATAATGAAATCATTATCCAGGTGTTTTAATTCTCAAGAGATGTGTATATCTTTATTGGGGTCTAACTGTAAATGTATTATTTTTCACTGCTGTGATTGGGTCATTATTCAGCCTCACATTTTACTATGTGTCGTTTTATGTATTTTAGCAGGTTAATGTGTGTGTGTGTGTGTGTGTGTGGGGGGGGGGGGGGGGGTGTTTGGGTGTCTGTGATGTTTGGTTGTGTCGAGTTGGGCAGCTGTGGGGGTTGGGTTAGTGGGTGGGTGGGTGGAAATGTGGGATTGTTTTTAATCTGTGTAAAGCACTTTGTGTTAAATTTTTGTATGAAAAGTGCTTTATAAATAAAGTTTGATTGATTGATTGATTGATTATTCTCGAGGGGGCAGTCCCTTCACTTATATAAGGGGAGTGGAAGGGGCTGTCCTCCTACCCGAGGAAGATCTGAGGGACCGAAACGCCGTACCAATAAAAGAAAAATCAAGAGTGGGACAGTGTGCAGGAGTTTTTCTTTAAAAACAGCACTGAAATTATCCAAATGACTCTAGTGAAGATGTATGGAACACTTCCTGTATGACCACATGACATCGCAAGGTGGAACAGAGCATTTTACTTTTGAGAGAAGAACTCAGCCTGTGCAGGGTTTGTGTGAATGAAACAAAACACTTTTTGATGAGAAAATTACATTATGACATAGATCAGATAATAGCATAATATCGTCCTAGTCTGTACGGTGGTAAACATGTTATTTAACTCCTCACTCACTCTCTCTCTCTCACTCATTCGCTCGCTTTGAATGGCGAAACCACTTCTAACCAGCTGGATCAAGCACCATTGTACACCTCGACATACTTCCTCTCTTTTACTGTAACGCGCACACTCTCTCACACACAAACAAAGTGGCTGATTTGAAGTGCTCTGTGGAGGATCATGCTCTCGTACTCCCAGGTCTGTGTCTCTGGCTGTGGGCTGGTGCCGCTCCACTGAACCACATCTGTTGGCCCGCTGCCTCGAGTGCTGCCTCCACACCGCCATCTTGCCCTCTGCCCCAACCCCGGACAACCCCCCTCCAAGCCCTTCTCCGCAATTTACCAGCGATAGGTTCTGCTTTTGTCTTCCGCTCCCCTGAGAAGGAGCAAAGAGAGGTACGATCAGGACCTCAATATGATGTAGCCTGACAGAATAGAGGGGAAGTAATGGGTTTTTTAAAGCTAACTAGGTTTCAATGGGAAGGTGGGAAGTTGGAGGAGAGTAGATTGAGAATTATGTAGTGAAAAGTTTTAAAATTTCCATATTACACAATTTTCTGATCTATGTTATAATTTGCATATTTAAGCTGAGTTCTTCTCTCAAACAGAAAACACGAAATACAAAAAAAAGTGCTCCACTGTGTATTTGAACTTCATGCAACTTCACTAGAATCATTTGGACAATTTCAGTCCTAGAATTGCCAATCTCTGCTGAACTAAAGGTAAAAAGTCTCTGTTAAAAACTACCGCTTCATGACATCACAAGGTAGAACAGAGCATTTTGAGCTTTGGACATGTAGTCAGACTAATAACACTGGATTACTCAAACATGTGAATGAAACAAAACACAACTCCAAGTATGTTGTTGAGGAGGTAACAACATTTTAACATGGTTTAATGCTCACAAGAGTTAATTCTGTGTAATAAAGTTAAATGTTTTTTTTTTATATAAGTTTCTGTACATCTTTTTGTTTGGTAGATCTATTCTTTGAGGCTACAAATACTTCAGTGTTAGCTTTACAATATTATTATTTTTTTTTTATCACAAGTACAAAATAATAACTGGTTGCATAATTATAACATAACTTTGCATAATAATTGGATTTGCTGCACATATACAATTGTCTAATCCTCTTGGAATTACAGGGTTCTGTGCACATTTTGGGTAGTTATGAGATATTGGGTTTTAAAGTTCTGACCACTCACAGTGCACAATATAAAAGGGACGTGGATTTTTGCTCTTTTAAGTCTAAAATGTATCATACACTAAAAAAAAATCTTGATAAAGCAGATAAACATCATGACCAACACTACAGATAAAGTAGAAGGCATTCAGGAAAAAGAATAGACAAATAATGCAAAACTACAATTTTATAAAATAAAAAAGAAACCCAGTCTTTAAAAAAATGTCATTACAAATTATTGTTTTAGTTTAGCATTTTGTAGTTTCCACTCAACCATTAATGCTTTGGGTGTTTTTAAAATGTGAACTGTGAACTGAATCCTTATTTGAAAATACACAGTAAATGGCGCTATAGTTGCAATCTCAGTACTTTAAAGTTAGATTTTTTTTCTCCCAAAAAAATCTCGAGCTACATCCCATTAGAGTTCTGTAATCAAATTTATTTTACCAGGAAAAGGAGGAAAAATTTCTCTTTTGAAGGAGATTCAACTTCTGGCCTTGGGTGAAATACACACACTGGACACTTTAGCGTGAGAGATGCATACTGAAGGGCAACCAATCACTCCTTCATTCACATCAATTATGTTTGTCCTTGATGAGAAACCGGAATGCCAACCACTGTATTACAACGTCTTAAAATGAGACAGATGTTGCTAAGTAGAGTGGATTTTCTGCTCATAAGATAAACAAGATTATTACAGATATTAATACCTGTAGACTTCTTTCTACTCTTGAAAAGCTTCCAATATGATTTTTTTAGCACTGTATCTTTCTCAGTTTTTGGTTTACCAGGAGTCTGCTATTTCAACTGAGCTTGTCACTTTTTGACATGTTGAAATGGTAAAATGTCCTCAGTAAAAATAAAGCCGTACAGATTGTCAATATCTTTCACCAAAACTAACAGGCAGTTTGCAATGACAGTAGCCTGAAGGGGAAAATTATCAAGACCATAAATAAATCCATCTGAAATTACATTGTTTGACCTAGATTCTATGATTAGCAGCAAATGATTTTCATGCAATACTGGAGAATATTCAGTTTTCACATTTTTGCACCTTTAACAATACAAAAACATCATATTATTGTACATATTAGACTTAGATTGAATAATGCTCTGTAAAGCATCTTTGGGGACAGAAATGTCTGTGAAAGTGCTATATAAATAAAGACATACTTACTTACTTAGATTAAATTATTATACAGTTAACATGAATAGTGTTACAGTCTGTGTCTAGCTGGATTATCCAAATGCATTATAAACACTTTAAAAATAACACAATATACACTGTAGAGTCAAGATTTTTTTTTTTTTCCTGGAGTTGTGTTTTGTTCCATCCACACATGTTTCATGTTCAAACCCTGCATAATTAGGCTCAGTTCTTCTCTCAAACAGAAAACGCTCTGTTCCACCTTCTGATGTCATGTGGTAGTACAAGATGTGCTACACTGTGTTTTTAAACTGCACCGTCACTAGATTTATTTTCATAATTTCAGGCCTGGAACTGCCAATCTCTACTGAACAAAAGGTAAAAAGCAGCTGTTAACTTCTGTAAACTATCGCTTCATGACATCACAAGGTGGAACAGAGCATTTTGAGCTTTGGAGATGTAGACAGATTAATAACACTGACAGTTCCTGAAACGTGTGAATGAAACCCGAACACAGCTCCAGGTAACAACATTTAACCATGGCTTAAAGCTCACAAGAGTCAATTTTGCATAATACGGTAAACTTAGAAATGGAAATAATTAAAATTCAGTCCACACTCCAAAAAAGTAAACCTAAATATAAAGTGTTTTTGAGCCTGTTTCTGTCATACTATTTTTATTTTACGATTCTGGAAGCTTGATTTTTCTAAAGTTGGACACACAAAAGAATCATTTCAGCCTTGAAGTTGCCCATTTCTACTGAACAAACGCTAAAAGGTAGCTGTTAACTTGAAAACTACTGCTTTATGACATCACAAGCAGAGCATTTTGAGCTTTGGAGAACTAGACAGACTAATAATAAAGGATTACTCAAACGTGTGTGAATGAAATAAAACACAGAATGTAATTAGACAATGTGAATGAAACTGAATTAAGGATTTCACTGTAGTTTTGGTCATGATGTTTATATTGTAAATAATCAAACAATCAGGATATTTCTTCTGATAATAACAGTAACATTATAAAATCTATTATGGCTTATCGCTTTTTAAAAATCTATAACTTGAGAGTGTGTTTTCCAGCAGTGGTGGGCTGGATGCATGTGTGTGTGTATATTGTTTGGACAGTACGAGTAAGGAAAAGAGTCCCACATTTTCCCCATGAGTGCTTCAGCATCTGCTCCCCTCTGTCACTCCAAACCCCTACGGACATGCACGCACCAATAATACAACAGAGGCAGCCAGCACACCCACACCTTTTATCCTCTGCACAAATATAATAAGCACTAAGTCATGGGAGTCTAGACTGTGAATCTCACTTAAGGGCAAGTAATCAGACAATATTAGCAATTTCTTCTTAAATCAATTTCCAGGCTAACCTATTTGCTGACATTGTGTGCCGAGCTTAAAAGCACAGAACGAGATTTTGTCTCGAGGTAAATAAATACTGTATATGAATTCTCCTGAATATAGAATAAAATATCAGAAGGTTTTTTTTTTTTTTTTCAGAATAAAACAGAACTTTATTTGTTCAAGATAAAACAGACATTTGGATCAATCTACACCTTAGTGTTTATATTTGCCCAACTAAAGGAAATTAAAGAAACAGTTTTGTACTGCACTTAGCTAAATAACTCGGCTTAAAAATATTAACAATGATTTGACAATTGATATTTTGGGTTAAAAATACAAAAGTAGAAAAAGTTTGTGAAAAAAAAAAATGTTGATAATGATAAATCCATTCTTTATCCAATTAAACCTTGAAGTTAGTTACAGGGGAAAAGAATTATGATTTGACAAGATAAATACATGAAATCAAGATATTTGGGAAAGAAAATGAAAATATTAACAGATTTTTTTGGATGAAATAATGGTTGACCCAATTAAAGTGGCTACCCTGACCTCCTTCTTGTTTAGTGTTTTTGTCTCTTTCAGCCCTGCCCTCTCTTTGCCCCTCCGCCTGTTTTTCCACACCAGTATCATCAGTCACAGAGCATCTCCCTACATTGTTTTGCTGTGATTTCCCTGGGGCGCCAGACAGGGGCCGTAACCCATAATGCCTTGAGCTCTTCACTGTTAACACATTGGACTATAGTGTTAGATTGTGTTTGGGGGCAGAAGATTGGCTAGCTTTAAAATCCTGACCATGACCATTAGTGTTCATGCTACTCTTAACATAACAACATTAGCCGCTGCGGGCTGTAACATCTGTCGACCAATCAGAGGGCTTAGATGGTCTCCCAGGTGAGACGCTTGGTTGCATAAAGGATGATTGTTGCTAATTTTAGATTTCCAGGAAGCAAAGCATGTGCTGAACATTATAAATTAATGCAAATGTACACGGGAAGTGAAATCATTACTGTTAAATCTGACAATGAAGACAAATCACTGGTTGGATTTGTGCCTCTTGAATGTTTTATAGCAGAGAAAAGACAGTAGCTTACATATGACAGCAACAAATTATAAATATTTCAGAAACTGGAGAAGGATTTAAGATAGAAGTTATGAAGTTAAGGCCTATTGTAAAATGGCTCTGATGCCAGTACAAAATGTGAACATATGGAGCCCATAACATGTTTGCTTGCCACAACTTTAAAGGCTGAAATATAATGTGATCTCATTCTGTGTTTATTGTGTGTACATTCTGACTTAAAGATGCCCCGCTTCTCTCCAAAAGGAGGTTATCACTTTGCCTGGAATGTTCCACAGTAAGGCATTAAAATTTGCATTCTTACTGTGAGTAGGATCGCCACTCCACAGATCTGACCAGTTACATAGTTGCCTGGTGACGTCACCGATCCCCATGTAAGAAGTAATGCATTATTGTGGAACATTCTATGCAAAGCATGAAAACAGAGACTAGTTACACAAGAGGAACGAGGAAAGAAAATCAGATTTGCCTGAAAAGAAACAGTCTAATTTATCTAAATAACAGAGAGCTACAGAGAGAGGGTCTTGCTGAAAAAGATTAAATACTATGTGACAAGGCAAATAATACAGTGGAATTGATATTTGAAATAACTGCAGTTGTATTAAATCACAGCTT